CATCTTGAATCAACATCGAAGAATACTGCTGTCCTTTTCCAAACTATATACAGTGGTGCTTTGGTTCTCAAACGCCTTGGTTCCCAAACACAGAAAGCACAGAAGTGTCCTGGTTTTGGAACGTTTTTCGGAAGCTGAATGTCCGATGCGGCTGTCGGCTATTGTTCCAGGGCGCCTGCACCAATCAGAAGCTGCGCCTTGGTTTTCGAACATTTCGGAAGTCAAACAGACTTCTGGAACAGGTTAAGTTTAGCGCTTTTGTTTTTGCTATTTATTTGTGCTTTTGTTTTTGAGGCTTTTTCGGTTAGTTTGCTTTTTGTGACTGTGGAAGCCAGTTCAGCTACTGAGTGATTGTGTGACTGCGGAAATGGATAAAAGCTCCCCATCTAAACAATGACTATCATCAGTGCAGGTAAGGGGGGAAAGTAATTTTAATCTTTATCATCTACAATACTGTCTTATTTATTTTATAGTACAGAACATTGATTATTGCTTTCATTTTATGGATCAGTGGTCTCATTAGATAGTAAAATCCATGTTAAATTGCTGTTTTAGGGGTTGTTTTTAAAAGTCTGGAACGGATTAATCCGTTTTGCATTACTTTCTATGGAAAGCGCGCCTTGGTTTTGAAATGCTTTGGTTTTGGAACGGACTTCCAGAATGGATTATGTTTGAGAACCAAAGTACCACTGTACAGGAAGCCCTCGACTTATGTGGCCATTATGTTCCAGAGACAGTGCCCAAACCAAAATCACATATAGTCAAAACACGTTGAGTGCAATGGCAGGTGAGAGTGCCAAAGTATCCACCCCCTTTCAATTTTTCCTCTTTTTCCTCAAGCACATAAAGTTGAAGGCACACAAGTTGGTGACTTTATCCCTGATCTTACCAATGTGACGCTCAGTGCTTAGATCTGAAAAAAGAAAGACGCCCAAGGGGGTCTACAGAAGAACTCAAGAGAACAGGCAGAGGGGTTTTCTCTCCAGTCCGGTTTGGAGATAAAGCTCTGGGAACTTGACTGAACACTTCTGGTGGCTTCCTAGAGTGCATCTGGCCAACAATCTACCCCTAGGTTTAAATTATGCACTGCCTGAAGTACTACCTCAGACCCTACAACATTTCTCTGATGAAAATAGGGACGTCCTATTTAACCATAACCATAATTTTATTATGTATATGTCACACATTAAACATTTAAAAAACTTGCCTATGCAGGGCTGCCTTTAGGTGTCTTCTAAAGGTTCTATAACTTATCTCCTTGGCGATGCAGCTGGCGCTGTGGTCTAAACCACAGAGCCTAGGGCTTTGCCAATCGGAAGGTCGCAGTTCGAATCCCCGCGATGGTGAGCTCTGTTGCTCGGTCCCTGCTCCTGCCAACCTAGCAGTTTGAAAGCACGTCCGGTGCAAGTAGATAAATAGGGACCGCTTTCTAGCGGGAAAGTAAACGGCGTTTCCGTGTGCGGCTCTGGCTCGCCAGAGCAGCGATGTCACGCTGGCCACATGACCCGGAAGTGTCTCCGGACAGCGCTGGCCCCCGGCCTCTTGAGTGAGATGGGCGCACAACCCTAGAGTCTGTCAAGACTGGCCCGTACGGGCAGGGGTACCTTTACCTTTAAGCAAGTATAGGATTGCAACTTAAGACATTTAGGGTACTGTTATTGCTCATAAGTATTTGAGCACTGTTTTCAGTTAATAATTCTGGGAGGAAATGTAATTACCTTAGTATTGTTACATGTAATAATATCTGTGATTTCTTATGTAGTTTAATTATAGAATGTTATATAGTTAATCATAAACCCCTTGATGATCTGAAGAGTCTTATAGTGCCCATAATTTCCCACCACCTCACTGGACAGTGGAATGTTGATGAATGAAATAACCAGTACTCCTAAATCAATACGTTTAAGAAAGAAACTTCAGTTACTAGGCCATTTAGCTTTAAATTGTTTGATAACTTGCTTAAAATAAAAAGCAAAATGGTCTTGCATATGTTTTCTTCTCCAGTATTTAATGAAATGCATCTTCATTACTATAGGAGGTGCTTCAGAGTTACTTCTCTATGGTTTCACCCCTATTGTTGCAGATTGTATCCTCCCAAAAAGAGGACACGTGTTGCGGTGAGACCTGGAGACCGACCTCCTGTGTTGTGGGTGGGTAAGATTGGATAGCCACAACACCCAATTGGTAGGTCCCTTGATGTTGGGTTTAATCTGGCCACTGGGTCAAACAGATCGAGGGACCTATATATACCCATGCACGTGACCCAGAGCTTCCTCTTTCGGCTCGTGCATTCGGAACACCCGCCCACCTCTCCCTACTTTTAGGGCATTTTTTGCAATTGACCTTGCTATGCCGTCATGTGTTGTCTGTCGTTGGGACAGGGGCACGGCAGGAATTTTCCCCGCTTGGCTGATTGGCTGTTGCCATTTGGGTTTCACCTACTGCTTAGCAAATCATCACAACTTGTAAGGTTGCGGATAGGCACTGGTTCGGGTGATAGGGATGGGAGAATGGTCTCGTCATCCCTATGTGAAGGGTATTCTGTTAAAGGAACCCAGGGACTCAACTGGTTTGGTCAACCCCCAAGAGGGGGTTGTGCCCATGGTTGAGTCCAGGGGAGCATCTAGAGGGTGAACATAGTCTGTTCCTGGCTTTTTGCCTACCCAGGTGTTCACCCTTGGCTGACCTATGCGGGTGCCCTGGGTCAGCGCTGCTTGCAAGGGTGCAGGGAGGTAGTCGAACCAGAGCCTATGCAACCACTCACTTCCTGTAATCAATAAAGTTGTGGCCTAAATTCTGCCAAAAACCAAAACTAAACTTTGAGTCAAATGTGTTTTTATTTAGGGGGGAGCTATCTGGGTCTGAACACACAATAACATTGAAAGGCCTGGCACTATGCGGGTAGGACCAATGTCTTTTCCATTGTATCATCATATTGAACCATAGGCGATGGTTCGATGGGGCTGCATGACTGGTCCTTCTGACATGGTGCCAAGCCTTTAAATACTTGGATTGCCGAATGAAGCAGCTCTAGCATATATGAAGGATAGCTGATTTGGTGTTATAATGCAATATACTGCTGGCTTAGGAGTTCTAGGAAAGTGATTTTAAAATATGAAATAAGGAGTTCACTTTTCACCTGTGATTCAGGCTTAAGTTATAATTAAGTGTAAAGTGTTGATAAAGGCAAGTATGCTAGTATATAGGCTCACGTATTAAAATATTAACCTATTAGAATTAGGATGCACTGGCTTTGGTTTTTCTAAGATTCCCCATTAATTCTTCAAAATGAGTCACAATTAGAAGTTTTATTGATTGCTAAGAGGGTCCAAATGAGTGGACACTGAAAGATGAAACTAAATTAAAGGCATCTGTCCAAATTAAAATGGAAGCATGCATGAAGAATATACTAATGAACATGTATGCTCCTGTAATAATACTTTTATTATCTTCAGCTTGCAGGCCAGACTTTTAATTATGACCTCTTTTTATATATCAAGGAAAGCCATGTATTTGGGATTAAAAACCTATTTCTTTAACTAGTCAGGTTAAAGGCTGTGGCTTGATACATTCCAGGCTGCAACTTTATAAAAACCAGAGAACACTTCTAATAACACTTTTCTAATTTAATGGTTCAGTGCACAGTCAGTAAAGATTTAAATAATTCAGAAAGAAAGCCTATTTTCTTCCTTTATTGGAAGTTTGAGTCAGGCAAATTCTTTGACATTTAATAGGTTTTAACCCTTTTAATAACTTCTTATAATGAAATTTATTGGAGGTTGTTTTAAATAAAGGGTTATTATATTAGAGTGAATAGCAGTCAGTGTGTTTTTTATGATTAGTTTTGAGACCTTGGCCCTGTGTGACTCAAAAGGTTATTAACACATCAAGTAGAAGAGAATGTTAATATTCACAAAATTAAGTGTGTACCAAGAAATGTTACGCTAGTACATTTGTGTCATTACATGATCATGCTCTAAAAACCTGCCGTTAACATTTGAGTATTTAATTGTTTTAAAGAAGCTTACGGTCACTTACAAGAGCTGATATGGTGAAAGACAAGATGGCTTCCTTCAAGAGAGCATTACCCAGTGTTAATAGTAGAAACCAATAATTGAATGTTATTTTTTCTTGTTTTTTTTATTACTGAGAAAATTATTTTAAGCCTTATAATTTCAGTTACTTAAGAATAAGATTAGTTTCTCATCAAATGAGAAGTTAGAATTATATTTTGATTCTAGCCTGAAGCAGATGAGGTTATTTAAACTGCAGCATGCTATAAACCAGAGATCCAGGCAATGTACATCTTTTGTTACTTAAACTTTATCAGTAAATCACTAACTCCTTTAACAAATATATGAATATTTCCTATATTAAGGGTATATTTTGCACCTGTCATGGGCATCTTTAATTATCATATTTAGATCACTTTTTTGTTTCATCCTTTTGAATTATTCTATTGCAGTCCATTGTAACAAGTGACCAAATTGCAAAATTCAGCTACAGATTTCAATCATTACTGCTGTGACTAAAATGCACAGGCAGGTTTGTGAGGCCTTCAAAAAAGTGTTTTCCTCGATACAAGAGGACTGTTGATCTGGAAAAATATTGCAAGCCTTGGGTGAAAAGATGACATTCTTAGAGCAGTGGAAGTTTCTTTGTTGCATTTGGCCCATATGACCTCTTTGTCAAGGTCTGGGTGGGAGGTAGGGATGCCTGTTTTAAGAAGCTTGCTGAACAGTGAGATTCCCTGTTGTTATTACTGAAAACTGTCCTACCCCATCCTGCCACTAGCCATCCATGCAACTTTTAAAAGTTAATAAGGAGATTCCTCAGTGCTGAACAGTGAGATTCCCTGTTGTTATTACTGAAAACTGCCCTACCCCATCCTGCCACTAGCCATCCATGCAACTTTTAAAAGTTAATAAGGAGTGAACAAATGGATTTTTAAAGGAATGCTTATGTAGCACTTAAAAACTTTAAAGGATGGATAGCTCACCTGGAGAATACAGAAGGGCAAAACTAATCACAGGCATGTCTTTTATTTCAGCTGCGAAACTGGACTAACATGGCAGCTGAAGAATTTGCTGTGAGCTCTGTTTTTATATTACATCTGTCTTTCCCTTGGCTTTGGGGTTAATTTTCATCTTGCTTTAGCTAGCATGTATAGCAGGGGTGGGCGACCTGTGGCCCTTAGCCTTATTTTATGTGGTCCTTGACCAAATTCAGAAGCCCTCTGCAAGTGGTCAGGTCAGACCTCGTGACAAGAGCCATCTGTTCCTCCCTGGCAGCTGCTGGGTAAAGAAGAAAAGTGAGAAAGAAGGTGTTGAAAAAGTGTCCATTTTTAGTTCTAGCCTCACCAACAGCTAGTTTTGGTCCCACACACAATTGATGTGAGGTTCCTGACAAATTGCCCCAAACATTACCCGCCTCTAACTTGGATGCCTTGTGGAAATGGAAAGGTACCTGAATTCACACAAGATGTACTCCCAAATTTCCACCAATTTACTCCTTCCATTGAAGCTCAACACTACATCTCACTTTGTTCAAGAATGTCTCCCAACAAATGGCAGTGGCATTTGAGCATTTGCAGAGATGTGCAGTAAGGAAGAAGGGGTGGGAAAGCCATTTTCTTTGGAATCAAGATATTATGATTCATGTAAACATGATTACTGCGATCTAAATCAAAAGAACAACGTTGGTTGTTCTGTGCTCTAATAACTAATGTCATTAAAGCCATAGTTATTTACAATTCATACTTATCTGATCCTTGTGTAGTTCTATGCTACACAATTGAACAATTGGTTGGGCAAAGGCCCAGTAGTAGATCATGCGCTTTGCATGCAAACGATCTCTGGAATCTTCAGGTAGGACTGGGAAACCTTGGAGAGCTGCTGCCAGTCAATGTAGACTATACTGAATTAGGTTGACCATTGACCCAACTCAGTATAAGACATTTTCACATATTTCTGTAAATTAAGAACAGCTGACTGCAGTCCCAAACAAATTCTGCCATAGAGATTTGCTGCCAGTATCTCTTTCCATATTTGATCACTTATCAGCATTACTAGGTTGAACCTATTAACAAACTGCCTCACTCGCTGCCCCAATAGCTGTCTTGCTCATTTCTTACACAATGTGGTCTTCCTCTTCCTCTACATGCAAGCTCCCTTTTCCTTCTAGTTCACTATGGTGCTATGTTTCAACTGCACAGATACCAACCGTGGGTAGTTTTCTAACTAGGTGCTAGTGGTGGGTTGGGCAATATGCAAAAGTGGCTGGATAAAAGACATCTAATTTTACCTTTGTACAGTAGGCTTCTTTCTACATGCACACACACTGCCCTTCATCCAGGAAAAGTAGAAGCATTATCAGTGTTCATTGACACATTCCAGCCAGACAGAAATGGCACGTAAGAATGCAAGGCAGGGCCCACAGGGAGAATGGCCTGAGAGAAGGAGTTGTGGCTGGAGAGGTGGCCAGATAGAGACGCCTGGTACCTGAAGTTCCACACAAACACATTCTCTACCTGTACTGTTTTGTAATTGCAGGAAACAATGTGGTGGTGTTAAGGTGTGGATTACAATTTCAGCTATCTATTTTAACAAAACTCAGCTCTAACTTTGCCTCATTTCAATTTTTTTTTAAAATAAACAATGCTATGATAATGTGCCACTGTAAGGCCCTGTAGATAAGTGCTGGGGGTGGGTGGGAATACTTTGCTGAGTAATTGTACAGTATAAGCTCTAGTCACACTTTAACTCCTGCAATGCATTTCAGTAGCCTTGAGGAAAACTCTCTCCAGTGTTCAGGGTCAAACGATAACAGGCAGGGCTAAATGGAAGGGCTTCAGAGAGGCCTCACTTCTCCTTGTTCTTGCTGCATCTGGCACACTTCCAGGCCTTTCCTGCTAACACCACAGAAAGCAGCAGCTGGTGACTAACATTAGCAAATAGGGCCTCAGGGCTGCCCATATTCGAGTTCTTCATTCACCAACTGCTATTCAGCAAAACAGCTGGATCAGAAGCGATACAGCCAAGAAGTAGTTAGAGTTTTATGTGTACAACTGTTCAGATATAGATTGTCTGCTAGAGGCAGAGATAATGATAGCTTTCAAGGCTAATATGTTTGACTAGGATGGAGCTGGTGTTTGAAAGAAGAGATTAAAGTGCCAGTAACAATCACAAAATGTTTTTCAAGATTCAAATGTAAGCCATTGGTTGACAGTATACATTGATTTCCCCCTCTCCTCTTTCCTTTTCCCCTCCCCCCTCCCTAAGTATCAATTCTACACATGCCAGAAATTTTATTACACAAATCTGTACAAAGCCTGTTAAAAGTGATAATTCATATTGCAGTATTCCACATTAAAATGTTTGGGTGAAAAATAAAACTACAGTGCATGTTCTGGGACTTCTAGATACAGCTGGCATGAATGTGTTGCAATCCATGCGCATGCCAAAAAAATTAAAATAAAGCAGATCAAAACCTAATCTCCATAGCATTTCATAACCTATAGTCATGTCCTTAGTTCTTGATGGAAATATTACAATATTATAATGACTATCCTACCTGCTGTCAATAGTTATATGATGATCTCTAAGGGTTGTATGAGATGCAAGCATGTCTGTGTCCAACCTAGTTCAGACATAGGTGGAAGAAATGTTTCCTGCTTGGATGCTGAACCACAGTGAACCTCAGGCTCCCCATTTCTCCCTCTTTATTCCGTCTTCCTTCCCTCCTTCTTTCTTTTGGATGAAATTTAATGCTTTTAGTTAAGTCGTGGGTTGACATAGCAGCCGGCACAGCGATTTCTTCAAGTAGCTCTTTATTATGGTAAGCTGGAATACAACTGACTGCGAACAGCTCAGCCGGCCTGTATTTATAGGCAGCCGGCTGTCAACATTGTAACCACAACAGCCCAGAGTTCCCGCCTAAAATAACTGCCGCGGACCTGAGTGAAAACTATCTACAGACCTGAGTGAAAACTATATACAGTATCCCCCTGTTGGCCCAGGGTGAAACTACACTACATAACACTTTTGATTTTAAACTATCCACATTTCCTCATGATGTTCAAACTTGGGGAACTGTGATTTGCTAAAATTATGAGCTAAGATCAAGCCAAGGTAAAATCATGGTTATAGACCCTGGCTTGTTCTCAATTCAAGTTTTAAACAGAGCTCACTTTCCCAAACTCAGACATCATAGGGAACTGTGGTTAGCTTCTGGTGCATGAATAAGCAGAGGGAAGTAAACAAGCCCAAATCTCTCCATGCCTCATTCTCATGCAGGAAATGTGGCTCCTTCACAGCTAAACTGGGCCTCTGTTTTCATAACCAAATGTGTAAACTTCCTGGAATTTAAATGTTATGATAAAATATAAATCTGAGAGAAAATTTAATTATTTGCAACAATTAGTTTATGATTAGACTGACATTACTACTTTCTGCTATATATGTTGGGCAGACTTCCAGACTGTGCCCCTTCATTAAATATCTAGAGCTGTTCTGTATTGTGCAACACTTGAAAATAAATACATTTACAATTTCTAGTCTTCTATCCTCATATAGTCAAATACAGAAGCACTTCTATCGTCACTTACATCACCAATTTGTTTACTTGGATCTCCTAGAACTTCTAGGGTTGTGTCCAATGCTGTGCCAGCAGAGTTTCACTGGTACAACAGGACTTGTTTCCTTTCTTCCCCTGCGTGCCCACAGAATATGCTCTGGAGGTGACAGGAGAGGAGGGCTCACAGAAGTCAGTTGTGCCAGCGAATTACAGTAGGACATTGTGGGATATCCGTGGACAAGTATATTTGTCTTCCAGAGAAGTAAAGCACTTCATTGTCCATTGATTAATCCTCATCTCAGCAAAGTTTGGATTCATTGCTTGAATTAAAAAAACAAAATCAGAAGTCCATTAAGGTTAAAAGCAGTGACCCAAATAAAGTGATGGATTAATTTGTTGGGTTCAGAACTTTAAAGCTCTTTGCATTCATTTATGATTAGTCAGTTCAATGATAGCATTTCTGAAATCAGAATAGTTCCTCAGGCAGTTTGGGGTATATTAGAACTACAATACCATCTACTGAAGAATTCTGCAGGCCTCATATTTAAACCCCATTGATTTAGGAAAAGTTAAGATTTAAATCTAATTATACAATTGCAGCTCATAATACATGAAGGGATATTCTTCACTGAAGTCATTAGAATTTCCTTAAGCACTGAGCTATTAAACACTGTTGTTCTTAAATGCTGCAATGTTGTTTTAAAGGTTAAGCAAAATATTTTCAAACTCCTAATGAGACAGAATACTTTCAATAGTGGTATAATAATGATACACTCTCACTTTACAAATTCTCCTTTTTCTCTTAGATGCAAGAATTACGGAATACAGAAGGAGCTCAGTATAGTTCCCACCCCCAGATAGCAGCCATGAGACCAAGGGTTCAACCCGGAGATATGAGGCAGCCTGGAATGCTGCAACATGGTCAGCTGACAACCATTAACCAGTCACAACTAAGTGCTCAGCTTGGTTTGAACATGGGTGGAAACAATGTTCCACATAACTCCCCATCTCCTCCTGGAAGCAAGTCTGCAACTCCTTCACCATCCAGTTCAGTTCATGAAGATGAAGGAGATGACACTTCAAAGGTATGACTAGCAACATACTTTGGTTTTTCAAGGTTTGCAACCAGGAGAACATCACGCTGTAAGCGATTCTATAGTTGTATGATATTGCTTAGAAGTTATTTCCATCAAAACAGCATATTTCTGAAATGCGCTAACAAGAAAGATGATGTTCAAGGCTGGAGTAAGAAGTATGGCAGGAGAGCTGTTCAGCAAGAAAGAATTCTAGATTTTTCTTACAATGTGTTTGTTTTAATGAATGAGAGCATGGGGACATGTTGACAGAAGCAGAAGAGGACAGGAGAATAGCACAGAAAGGGAATGTGAATTCACGCAAACAATATGTAATGATGGCCACCAGCTCAGGGGCGAATGAAGGCGTCGTGACACCTGGGGCGGGGTGTCACTACATAAGACATAAGACAGCGTTGCTACGTGCCAGGATTCTCTGCTCGCGGCTGCAGCCGCTAACTGAGGATTCTCTACATGTGGCTGTACTGGCAACGGAGGGATCCCACCGCTGTCCGTACAGTGCTGGAGCGGCGGCGCCAGCAAACCGCTATGTACAGCGTATGTGCGTTGTCGTTACGTACAGCACATGTGTGCAACACCGCACATGTGTTATACATAGCAGTTTGCCACTGGCGCCGGGATCCTCTGCTCGCAGCTGCAGCTGCAAACGGAGGATCCCCCACATGCGGTTGCGGTGGCGTGAGGAGCTTCCTGCAACCAATCAGAAGCCGCGCTTTGGTTTTCAAATGTTTTGAAAGTCGAACGGACTTCCGGAACAGATTCCATTTGACTTCCAAGGTATGACTGTAGGACTATTATTACCTGATTAGCTTAAGTTGTTAAACCACAACTCAAACAACAAAATAGTATTTTATGGAAAAATTAAATTTCACACACACAGAGAGAGACTCAAATGTTGATAATTATGGAAGGGTGGATACAAGCCCAATTTTGTCCAAATTTCCCTTTTTGGGGATTTTCCCTAGAAGACAGTCCTTAGAAGAAAGAATTCTGCTGCATTCGTTTTTGTTAGTGATGCATGAAGCTTTAAGACTTACCAATAACTAGAATTTTGCAGTTGCCACTTCTATGTACCATTGAGATTATTTAATGTAACTTTCCCCATTTTCTTCACATTTATTTTGACCACTTAAGTGTTCTGAATGAGTACTGCCTTCCAGTAAATGTAACAATTCATCCTATTGGTTCATTAAACATGTATATTTCTGGTGCAGTGGTACCTCGGGTTACAGACGCTTCAGGTTACAAACTCCGCTAACACAGAAATAGTACCTCGGGTTAAGAACTTTGCTTCAGGATGAGAACAGAAATCATGCAGTGGTAGCAGCAGGAGGCCCCATTAGCTAAAGTGGTGCTTCAGGTTAAGAACAGTTTCAGGTTAAGAACGGACCTCCAGAAAAAATTATGTTCTTAACCCAAGGTACCACTGAATTGCTATTTATAATTGTGACACATTAGATGCTTTGTATGATCACAAATCCGTATTCCTAACTAGACAGATGACTGTGTATTGCACTGTGTATGGTTGTTTGAATTTCACTTATGAAAGGATTTCATGGAATTTAGAGAACAGAGAGTAATGAGAGGACTGTAAACAGCAAATGTTAACTAACTGAAACATGATCACTAAAGTACTACTGCAGCCTATTCTGTTTATGTAGCAGAGGCTTTACCATTTTTACTTTATATGGTAAGTTATAAGTAGAATTTTATGTTGTTTGTTCAGTCTATTATGCAGATGGTACTTGATTAAAATCTATTTTAAACTATGGTGATTACTGCGAGATAGTGTGAACGAAACAGCTCTCTTACTGCCATTAAAGGCCTTGGAACTATTGCAGTTTATTTTAAATATGCTTATAGGCGTTCCTTAACTTCTCAGGGGACATTTAGATATCAACAATGTGCCTTATTTGATAGTCTTAAATCCTCTACTATATATCCTTGTGATCTATTATTTGTGCAACATGGTTAATACACACATTTTTAAAGTGAGAGACTATTGCTTTCTTGTGATAAATAAGTTAAATACATCACTATAATTAAGCAATAAGGCCTGACAGGAGGTGGATTACCATGAGCTAACTACACCTCTAGGGATTTTGAAGCACAAGTCTATGCTTAGCAGAATAAGTATGAGGATTTTTTTTAATTATTTCCCATCTGTCTCTGTTTTGGTGGTTAGCAGAAAAGTCTGTGTAACTGCTAGATGCTTGTAAGCATAAGGTAGAACATCATCCCCATTATTTTCAAGGTTATTAGTTGTGGAATTCTTTTTAATTTCCACGTTATAAAAAGAAAAAAGAAAAGAAAGAAGAGAATTTCCCCGAGGAATATTCACTCTGCAGCGTGGTAGAGAAACAAGTCAAAGCCAATGGATCATTTAAACTCCTTCAGAGATGTTCAATTTGCCAAATAACCGTTTCCATACTTAACCTTTTGTGAACATTAAAAGTTACTCACAAGGCTAAGCAGTGAGTTATAATTGTAGCCCAAATATGTAAGATTTTATTTAGATGCTTTTGAAAAAGTTGAATTTCCCCTTAGTGCTATATTTCTGGCATGATAATGCGTTGCCACCTGAACACGACCGCTCCAGCAGGGGAAATGCTTCGGAGCTGTACATGGGAAGATGGCAGCCTGACAACTGTGAAAGCACTCTAGTGCTTAGGTATTTAGGGAACAATCCCAACTCGCTCCAGTGGGGCAACCACTGCATCACCAATGCTGCTTCCCACAGTGCTAGGGGATAAGGTGGGGGCAGGCAGTCTATGGAATCTTCTACCCCAAGGTGTAGTAACGGCCACCAGTTTGGATTGATCAAAAGAATTAGACAAATTCATGGAAGATAAATGGGACGTGGGTGGCACTGTGGGTAAATCCTCAGCGCCTAGGACTTGCCGATCGCATGGTCGGTGGTTCGAATCCCCACGGCGGGGTGCGCTCCCGTCGTTCGGTCGCAGCGCCTGCCAACCTAGCAGTTCGAAAGCACCCCCGGGTGCAAGTAGATAAATAGGGACCGCTTACTGGCGGGAAGGTAAACGGCGTTTCTGTGTGCTGCGCTGGCTCGCCAGATGCAGCTTGTCACACTGGCCACGTGACCCGGAAGTGTCTGCGGACAGCGCTGGCTCCCGGCCTATAGAGTGAGATGAGCGCACAACCCTAGAGTCTGGCAAGACTGGCCCGTATGGGCAGGGGTACCTTTACCTTTACCTTTATGGAAGATAAAGCTGTCAGTGACAACTAGGTAAGGTGGCTATGTTCTACCTGCACTCTGGATGGCAGCAGTGGCGTAGCGTGGGGGGTGCAGGGGGGCCCGGCCGCACCGGGCGCAACATCTGGGGGTTAGGGTTAGGGGGCGCAAATCCACGGGTTAGGGGGTGCAAATTACTTGCCTTGCCCCGGGTGCTGACAACTCATGCTACCCCACTGGATGGCAGCATGCCTCTGAATAGCAGTTGCTGGTGAGCACAAGTGCAGAGAGTGCTGTTGCACTCTTGACCTGCTTATGGTGCTTCCTATGGACATCTGTTTGGCCACTGTAAGAACAGGATGTTGGATCAGATGAGCCTTGGTTTCTTATGTTCTTATGAGTCTAAGGGCTGAAGAAGACCACATGTTTGGGTGCTTGCCCAGGCCAAAACCTTCCAGCAGGTGAAAAGCTACCACATCAGATAGATTGTTAGGCTTGCATATTTTCCACTACAATGCTGCTTTTAGACCAGAAACAGCTATTACATAAGTAATCAATTTGCGGCATAAGATGGAAGATTTAAACAACAAAATTTAAGTTGAATGAGCCTTGCTCTTTTTCCTGAGGTTTCTCCTACTTTTTGGTAATGGTAGGCAAACAGATTTGGTTTAATAATCCATATTGGGCATGCAGCTTGATTACTTCCATTTCATTCCCCCTCTGATGCAAGCAGGCAAACAAACCGGGGGGTGGGTGGGTGGGGTGGCGCTTAGTCCAAACTCAGGATCATGACTTGTTTCTATCTAGTCATGATCGCCTGCCAAACTTAACTCATATTTGTTGACAGTTTATAGTTATTGATTTTTTAGACAGCAACAAACCACAATCCCAGGTTCACATATGATGCCTCCCCCAGTGTGAAGCAAACTGGAAGCAACAAAACTGTGTGCCCCAGCTTCTTAGCTTACAGTTCACAGGGCCTGTGTAATATTGGCTACAGTGGCAACCATTTTAAGACTGCAACCATTGCAGACTTTATGGTCTAAGCCAGCTTTTTGCTTGCTTTGTCTCTCTTCCCCACTCCCCCTCGACCCCACACATTGCTTTCCTTAATATCCAGTCTGATGAAATGTTTTTGGAAAACTCAAAAGCTTCTCACTAAACCTTTGATATTTGAAGATCTGAAGAAGAATTATATGGAAGATTTCCCTATTTGTCAGTAACACCATCTTTATACTTGCTCTCTGATTCTTTCTTGGCTTCAGTGGGAGTGGCATTTAGAACATAAATAACATTGTGCTTCTAAATGAATTGTTGGAGTTATCTTACCCCAGCACCAGTATCAAAGTTTTAATAAAGCTGTTTTCTGTTCTCTTGTCTGACAACTGAACCTCTAGGGAAAAGCACAATAGACATTTGACCTTGAAAGGCAAAGTGATAAAAAAATGATACCCCTGGCCATACAGTTATGTTGATCAGCAGCCACATAATAGATATTCTTTTAAGTATCCAACTTCAGATACTGTTACACAAACAAGATTTCAAAAATAGTTTCATGGTTTTCGATACAGCTGAATTGCAATCATATACAATTCATGTCCAATCCCATCCCTATTAAATCAGGAGGAAGACACATTGATTCTTAGGGTTTTTTTAAAGCATGCATACAATTGATGCCAGTACTAAAAAGGGAAGGAAGAAATCTCCATCAGAGAGAATGTAACTTTTACTGCACATGGATTGCCCCAGTGGTTGAACTATAAGCCAGTGTATAATGTGTTATGAAACACTTTGCAGTGATGTCATGCCATTAGCAGTAAGACTTGAAAAAGATGAAAAGCTAAGCCAGAACTTAGATGCAGCAATGAAATGAAAGCAAATTGTAAATGTATAATAAAATTATGAAAATAAGATTACATAACCAAAAATACCTAAAATGCATTTTATAGATGAAATCATGTAAGATGCCAACAATTTGGATTATGAAAAGCACTCTAATTAAAATACAATTTCAAGCAGAACCCCAGATGCATATTGGTTGAGAAATGGGGATTTAGTTTGTTCTACGATCATGATAGTTTGTATTGTAATATAGTCTTTGCTTTCTTTGCAGATCAATGGGGGAGAAAAAAGACCTGCCTCTGATATGGGAAAGAAGCCCAAAACTCCCAAAAAGAAGAAGAAGAAGGACCCTAATGAGCCACAGAAACCTGTTTCTGCCTATGCATTATTTTTCCGAGATACTCAAGCTGCCATCAAAGGCCAAAACCCAAATGCTACCTTTGGCGAAGTTTCTAAAATTGTCGCTTCCATGTGGGATGGCTTGGGAGAAGAACAAAAACAGGTACAGCAATACACATATACATATGTTAAGTTGATTTAACTTTCCATTAGAAATGGGTCTATTGGCTACTGTGTTTCTTTGATTCCAAAGAGAATCAATGTGCCACATCAGAATATGAGCCACAAAAGGAAAACTTGCTAGAGGAAAACTGGATCAGCTGCATTAGCATCCTTGCCTATATCTTGACAGTGTTGTTGTGATTGCACGAGCTCTGGGCCTAGATTCAGCTGCTGTTATATTAGGAGACTTTTGGCACAGATATGACCAAACAGCTGCAATTTTGGTGCTCATCCCAGGCACATTCCACCTTAGAAGTTGATTCTGATCTGTTGATCTTTTCAGGACTTGCCTCTTCTAGCCTATCCTTCTTTGCTGGTTTGAAAATTCCCGCAGGATCATACCAAAGGAGTGTCTGCACGTTCCTTCCATATGACTGGCCGTGCACTTTGCTCTTTTATAGGAGAGCCTGTATTTCCTTTTAGTCAGTGCCAGTCGTCCATCAAAGGAAGCCCTTCCCAGTAATATCTGATATTCTTCTGGCTCCAGCAGAATATGATTGCTGTAGCACACTGATGTGCAAAGTGTTATTCTGTTTTTAACATATCTATATGTTGTGTGCCTGGGCCCTTGTCGGCAGAAGAGAAGTAATAGGCGCCCATGCAGTCCCATTCCAGACAGCGTTTGGAATGGCTATTGTTTGAGAAAATTGCATTTCCCAAATGACAATGTGTTTCTGTTTAAGTGGTAGGAAAGTGTGATTTCCTCATCACAAAAGAAACCTTTAAGAAAAGATATCTGGATTACTTTGCAATAACTGTGAAATTATTGTATAATAAAAAGATGTCTAGAAGGGCCCAGGCCATGTCTTGGGCTTGAAAGAATTAGCAGCTACCTTTGTAATGCAGCCCTTCTGTGGAAAAGAGAAGTGAAAGTCTGTGATTTCAGATGTGTGTGTGTGTGGGGGGGGTATTATTTTAACACAAATGCAAAAAGGAACTCTCAGCACTTCTTTATATTCCTCCCAATTGTCTCTTCCAACCACTTTGGGACTTTCTTCAAGTGAATGGTGAGGGGAAACTATAAATGAGACTTGTGAAATCAAATGATAAGGAATACAACAATTTCTAGACTCCTAATATCATTTTTTTTAAAAAAATAAAAAAATAGAAACAGTATCTTCCATATACAGAAGAAAATGCATTTCTTGATCACATGTCTGCTATTTAGCTATTCCCTCTGCACTGTTGCTGCTGGTTCTGCTTGCTTTTTGACACAGTCTAAAATTTTAGTCGAGTTTTGCTGTGTACTGTGTGGCTTATTTGTTGTTTTAAGCTGAATGAAACCCGACTTGAGGCTGCATGGTGAATGGCAGGCTATAAATGACATTAATGTTTCCATGAGCCCCAGCCAGCATGATCCATTCCAGCCAGGGGTGATAGGAGCTGTAATCCAGCACCACTCATAGGGCCACAGGTTCCTCACAACTTCATAATGCAACAAGAGAAGGTCCCTGTTACCATTCACAGAAAGAATTAATTCCCCTCCACTACCACCACCATACAATGCTGTCCCATCCTCAGGCCATGGCTATATCCCTCCTTAGTTCCCCTAGGGCAGAGGTCGGCAACCTGCGGCTCCGGAGCCGCATGTGGCTCCTTTAAACCTTTGCTGCGGCTCCGGGGCGCCTCTTCCCTCATGGTGCAGGGAGCGAAGAAGAAGAGGAGGAGGGCGGCGGCAGGAAGGCGCGCCAGGGCGCAGCGGCGGTTCTCCCTTCAGGTGGACACTGTTGCCACTGCCACCGCTGCCACACACGGGCGCGTCCACAAGCAGGCGCACTCCCTTTCGCCGTCGGTCGCAGCAGCCCGCCCGCCCTCAGGCCCCGCGCGCTGCGCCGCTTGACGTTGAGAGCCGCCCACCCAGGCCACGCTCTCCTCAGCCCCGCACGCGAGGCACCTGAGGCGAGGGAGAGAGCGCACACACGCTCGAGGGAAATGGCGGGGTGGGGTGTGTGTGTGTGTGTGTGTGAGAGAGAGAGAGGGGGGGTGGCGGTGGTGCTTCGGGATCCTTTTCTGTGCCTTGCTTCTGAGTGGCCGCCGAGTTGAGGGAGGAGGGGGTCCAGAGGTAGCCAGCAGGAGAGGCGGGGGAGCACGAGAGCAATTGCAGAGGGAGGGGGAGCTGTTAGGCACCAAAATCCTGCATGCGGGATTTCCCCGTTCTCTCGTGCCTATGCAATTCCTGCCCTTCTCCCTTCCCCCTCGAGATTTGCTGCAGAGACAAGCAAATGAAGAAGAAAGGGAAGAGTATTAGCTGACATGTCCCCTGGTCCCATGGAAAGCACCACAGATTCCTTTGCTTACCAGCTCTTTTTATTTTAAGTTGGCTTCAAACCTGTAATTGTGTAGGTGTATGTATGTATACATATACACACATAAATATTCATATCTCTTCCCTCTCACCTTCCTTTCACCCAGTTTCTCTGGCACTGGTTTATAAATGCTGCTATGTAGAAATGATGAGAAAGTTGCACCAGCAGAAGGAATGGATATGTGCTTTTAGTAAAAAGAGAGGGAGTTGAACTGCAGGGAGGGACAGACACTTTTCTATGTATTAATTTGTATAATGCCCTCTATGCACATGGTGCTTTGCAAAAAATGGATATGAGAGGTACCATTCCCCTCTTTGCTATCTGAAATAGACTCAGGGAAAAGAGAGAGAATGGGGGAAGGGGAAGAATGTGTGGTTATTTACATTTGGCTTGTTTTGCGGCTCCCAGCTGTTGTTTTTTCTTCGAAAACGGGTCCAAGTGGCTCTTTTTGTCTTAAAGGTTGCAGACCCCTGCCCTAGGGAAAGGTAACAGAGATCTTGCAATCTGAAAAGACAGAAGGTAGTGAAAGCCCAAGAACTACTAGGAATACACTCCCCTCCACCCCTTAAAAAAAACCTTCTCCTGTCCCATTATAGGGAATTCACAACAAGAAGCCAGTCAGCTGAGATGAACAAATTTGTCCCTTGTTTAGAATTTACACAGAAATGGTTGCATACAATTATTTTCTTTTGAGTATTTGCCAGACATGTTACATTAATTGACGGAAACATCCAGGGGTTTCTCATTTTCCAGCTGTGTTTATTTGACTAGCATATGGGAGCATGCAAATTATTAAAGGAAAGCTGTGTTAATCACTTGGCTTTGGCAGTTTCTCTTTGTGAATTGCAGAGAAACCAATGTGTATTCCATTAAAGAACACATAGTACAGCCATCTGAAAAGTTGCTACCTATTGTCATGTAAGTCTTAAACCTTCAAGCCTAATTCAAGTCAGTGACCACTTTGGCATTATCTTCAACAAAACAAGATTTTGCCCTAGGAATCTGTCGAGAAAGGTTATTCTTCTTAGCCATCATTATTATTTATGTGTGGCTTATAAGGACAACTAAATTGGCTAGTGGGCCAAACACTGGGGCAATGGATAGCTTGTCCAGGTGCATTAAGGAAGGATTTTTCCCCCTCTTCAATACTCTAATGTATACAGCAATGTCTATTGCTTGAAGTAACATGCTGGGTTGAATGGACTATTTGTCCATTTCAATACAGGAATTTTTCTATAATATGTGAATATATTATATTTCAGTATCATGTGAGTGGCTGCTTGCTTCAGGCTTCTAAAGTACATGCTGTGTTCAGACTAAAGCTCAGGAGCAAAATAAATTGTGGCCTCCTTAATCTCCCACCCTCTTCTCCCAAGGCCAGCATTAAAATGATAGAATCATGGAACTTCAAGAAGCCTTAAAAACTTTTCCAGGCATAGATTTTCCTTCAGAAAAGACAATCTGTCAAGACCAAGATGTGAGTGGCCTTTGTATATCCTTGCTGGATGTAGGATCTGGGAAGAATCTGCAGGTCCTTTGGATGGGCTTTCATATGGCAATAATTACTTTTCACCACAATCCATGTTTTGGTCCTGTCCAGGCTAGACTACTGCAAAGTGCTCTACTTGGAGGCTGCCTTTGAAGGTGGTTCAGAAACTTCAGCTGGTTCAGAATGAAGCTGCCTGACTACTATTAGACAACTTTATTATATCAGCTGCACTAGTTACCAGTGGGTTTCTGAACCAATTCCATGGGTTTTGACCTCTAAGGGCCTAAGCTGTTTCCCTGCAAGCTGTTTATTTGACTACCTGCACTCATATTTCCTTGTCCACGTCTTATGATCTGTTTTGTAGACTTTCCTGCTGTGCCCATCCCCATGGTCAGTAAAGTGGGTGGCCACAAGAGAAAGGTCCATTTCTGTGGTGGCACCATGACTATGGTATTCCTTATTGTTGGACCTGCACCAAATCTCTATGCTGCTGGGTTTTCTGAAGGCCCTGAAAAGGAATCTTTTCCAACTGCCCTTCCAGGCATGATGTTTGTTAGCTGAGTGACAGTCTGACTCAATTATGTTCTCCCCTGTTCTGCATTTTTTAAACTCAAGTGTTGATTTGCAGTGTTTTAAATTTTCTATGGCTTTTAATCTTTTGTTTATTTATACACTGGTTCGGACAGGCAAGCTGCCTAAAGATACTTTAAACAAATAAAATAAAATAAAATCTTCCCGCTTTATTTGTGAAAGAAATATTGCTTGCAACTCTTATGGTGTTAGCATCTTCCATGTACATCTCTGAGCAAGACAAGACTGGCTTAGGTCATCTTTCCCCCATTTTATCCCTATATTTCTTTTTACAACATGGGTACTAAGCTCTGCCACTGAATCTTTTAGCCACTTGTGGTTTGGTTTTAGGAATGTTGCCCTCTGTCCCCCCTCCACATCACTTGGCGTGCCCCTTTGGTTTCTTTCTAAATAAACTTACACTGCCCATTTTTCTCTGATCGTGGAAAACATGCACGTGGCAATTAAGAGTTAAAAGTATTGTGATAAATGGAGCTTTCCTTGGCTTTCAGACAGAAATCTGAGTTAAAAGGCAGTGTAGGTAATTTTTCTTCCCCATTCTGGGAGTCTAAGAAAAAAACCAACAACTTAAATCCAAACCAGATGTAAATGTAAAATGAAACTTAAATT